GGTGGTTTATTGCACCACTCTCCTATAAATGGCGAGAGAAAACGAAACAGTGTATCTGAAAAGCCAATCACCGCCATGATCTTCGCAATTTCAGACGTTTCGAATTGGAGCATATCCTTCAGAATAATTGGAAGGAGAAGAGAAAAGTTCGTTTCCACGCAGGAAGCGAGGGACATTCCAACCAACATATTGACGAAAATCGGATCGCTTAGTAACGTCAAGTCAAAGAAATCAATGAATCTCCGTAGATACGTCTTATCCTCAGTCTTTGTATCACATACAACTTCCTTCTCTTTGTGTACTTTATCGAACTCTCGGAATATATTAATAGAACTACCCAAATTAATTTCTTGAGATTCCCACCACTTGTACCTTGATTCAGAAAGGGACGATTCATCAGTGGTTTTACGAATGTCTGGCTGAGAGGCAGCATTTCTATTTTTCAGACTATCTGTTTGAAAATTTCCGTTTTCTCTTATCTGTTCCGAATTTGAAACTGATGAAATGCCTGTAAACAGAAAAATTTAATTAGACCAAAATTAATTTACTTAAGATTAATAAGTTAGACTTTAATAAGAAAGAGCTTACCTATATCTTTAGATGGCGTTACACTACCATTTATTAATTCAACATCTACTTCTTCATTCAATGGTTCTTCTTCTTCTGTTTTTGGAGTTACCTTTAAATACCATTTAGCTGGTCTAAGGAGACACGCCGCTAAAAGTGAGTGTAGGCAAATTGCGCCCAAAATAAGAACAGCATATCTCCAGCCATACGCGTACATAAGAACACTCATCACTAAAGGCATATAAATAGCTCCAAGGCCTGTAATTGACATTCCAACCCCAATAGCTCTTCCTCTTTTCTCTTTGAAGAATGAGTTTATTGCTAACGAAAACGCTGCCATAACAGCTGCTACTCCCATAGCTGCAAAAACAAAAGGTCATGAAAACGTGTAATAATATTAATTGTTGACGGAGGAAAACGATACGTACAATTAATAATACTGTAAGATAGTAGAAATAGCCAGAAATTAGAAGAAATGGCTGTCAGCATAAGCCCAAGAGATATAAGTATGGCACCAACCACAGCGACTTTTCTGTATCCAAATCTTCGGAGAACTGGCCCTCCGAAGAATGACAATAGCATTCCAAAGCCATGGTTTAGAATAATAATAAGCGTCCCTTGTGTTGCCGACAGACCTGTGTCTGAAAATGCTTCTTGAAACACAAGGCCGAACCCCGCAATTAAGGGGAGTACCACAACCTGAAATATGAATAAATTACTGCCACTTTTACCCCTATAACAACCTTGCGATTCTGTAACTCACTTTTCGAACTCACACAGCGGTTTTCGTATCGGCGGTCGCTCTCAAATCAGTCGTGAAGCAGTCATTTTATGATTTGGCATTCTGATAAACAATAAACTACAAGCTCCCACCTTTTCAGAATGCCAAATCATAAAATATGTTACAGAATCGCAGGGCAGGCACTTAAATTAAATTAGCAATTACGGTACAGATGATGTTACACTTGGTGGAGTAAAAACACCATGTATAGTTTCAAGTATAAGTCCCCCGTAGCAGCAAGAATTTATATTTATTATAAAATAAACCAAAATTAGGCACCTTATCAACAATTTGTTAATCGTATATACATTGATTAATAATTAAAACAATTTTAAATTTGACGTTCAGGCGACAGATTCTGGTCGAACCCGCAACTATAACACATCTCGATCGGCGGCCGAGACATTAAAGTAGTATATATATATGTGTACCTTGTAACATTATATCATATTGTGGTTCAATTCAATACTCACATTATTCAGAGCATATGCAAACGTAACCACCCAGCCATATCCTCCATCAGGTGGAACTTTGGCCCGAGACATAATGTTTCTCAGAAATATCACTTATACACCGCACTTTTTCCACTCAGTTTTCATAATTACTTTAGATGCGCACTTCCGACTCATATGTTCCAGAGTTAATCCACTTAACAGTTTATTGACTTCAATGTCCTAAATAGCACGCCCGCTCGAATCGAAGAACGGTAGCAAGTAACTAGTACAAAAGTAGACATTCCAACACTTGTTATCGCAATGACTTAAATGTCGTGTTATCAACAGTGAAGTTTTATTGGACGAGAGATCTATATAATCTTTATTGAATTAATTTTATTTAACAACGTGAAAATGAGGCTGGTTAATGTATGATAAACAGTGTGTTGGAAGATGAATTGTAGTTTTCATTTTAAGTGTTCTTTTTATTGACTTACGTTGTTATCAGTTTAACAGTTTATTGTTGTTTTTGAATTAACTTTTATTACGGCGGTTAAATTTAAAGTTTACGTCATAAGACCAACTGAAATGGGAAAAAAAATAAAAATTAAAAATAGTTTTTGGCGAGTTTTTGTTCGCAAAACTTGAAGACAACTGGACCAAATCGAGCATTTTTTTTTATTTCTTGAACACTGAGAAATCATGGAGAAAAAAATTGGAATAATGCACGTTAATCCTAAAAAAACAGTTTTCTTTTTTTGTAGGTTAAAAAAAGTCAGTGGCGCTACAACCTTATTGTAGGTCTGGCCCTCAGATTTCTGTATCTGTTTCATGATTATCTGTTAATCTAATCGGCAAGTAGGTGATCAGTCTCCTGTGCCTGACACTCGCCGTCGACTTTCTGGGTCTAAGGCAAGCCGGTTTCCTCACGATGTTTTCCTTCACCGTTCGAGCGAATGTTAAATGCGCACATAGAAAGAAAGTCCATTGTTGCACAACCGGGGATCGAACCAGAGGGCTCACGTTGGCAGCCTTTCAAGAATTGGTACGCTCTTTTCGTGAAGGACCCTAAGTCGAATTGGTTCTGAAATACTTCAGTGGGCAGCTGGTTCCACATAGTGGTGATTTATCTGCACCTGCGCTGGATGATGGCGTTCCCTTCATGTACTTTGATTTGACTTTGACAGTTCAATCAAACACTATGCCCCCGCAATTTTTTTATGGCAGATAAATTTTATATGAGTTAAACGATTCTTATTGTATAATATTTTTAATTTGTAGGTTACTGCAGATTCAGGCCTAACACATTTTATTAGGTTTATGATAGTGCAATGTTTACGATAAAAGACTTATGACCCATTTTATGAGCGTTCCAATAAACAACGAATAGCCAATTAGTATTTAGATAAGAATATAATTTAACATATTAATAATTCAGAAACTGTTTTAAATTTGCTATGAATTAGGCTTATCAATTGTTTTAGATAAAAGATTTTAATAATTTGGATGCCTATAATTTATCTATTATGGCTATCGTTTAACGAATAGGACGTAGATGTATTTAAGTATTTAAACGATTATTGTATGAGATTTATGTATAACGAGCAATTTGTTATTAAATAAATAAAACACCTCGCACCGGCTCCAAGTCTTCGACAACCGTTGTCTTCGCCGTATCCTGGGTATCTACTGGCCCGAGAAGCTCTCTAACAAGCAACTTTGGAAGCGCTGACAAAAAACCCCAAAAGCAAGCAGATCAAGCAACGCAAGTGGAAATGGATAAGCAATACACTCCGAAGAGATTCCAATTCCCCAAGCAGGCGCTTGATTGGAACGCGATAGGGAAGTGGACGCGTGGCTGTCCCAAGCTAACCTGGCGCCGTACAGTTGCAGATGAGGGAGAGAACCGGTAAGAAGCAAGGTGAAATACGAAGCTCAAGACCGAACGCGATGGATTATCACCTTGGACTTCCTCTGCCCCAAGGGGTTATAGCACATTAAGTTACAGAGGTTTCAGAAGGTATGTTACATGTATGTATGTAATACAAAAAAATTAATGGCGCTACAACCTTTTTTTAGGTCTGGGATTTCTGTATCAGTTTCATGATCAATTGTCAATCTAATAGGCAAGTAGGTGATCAGCCTCCTGTGCCTGACACACGCCGTTGACTTTGTGGGTCTAAGGCAAGTCGGTTAACTCACGATGTTTTCCTTCACCGTTCGAGCGAATGTTAAACGCGCACATAGAAAGAAACTCGATTGGTGCACAGCCGGGATCGAACCTACGACATTAGGGATTAGATCCGCACGCTGAAGCCACTAGGCCAACACTGCTCTGTATGTATGTTAAAAATTATAAAATAAAATTTGTAGTACAACAATTAAAAAACTATGTCCTTCACTTCCAAAGTATTATTAGATCATAAATACTTTATCGACATTATCATTTAGATTGTATATCAGTTAAGCGGTTAAGTTACTTAGCAAATTTGGCTCAAGATAATCCGTTTATAATCATTAAATTACATTCAACACTTACGATTTTTATCGTGAAAGATTTCTGTGTACGCAAGTCTGAAATTATTAAAAGCGTTTAAGCTCATATTATTTCCCGCTATTTAGACAGTTTAAATTGCTCAGTTCATATCACTATCTATCACTTATGTTATTTAAACAAATGGTAATTGTGTTATCACAATAAATAGCACGAGTGGTTAACCGACACTGACAGTGTTGACTGTATCACGACACAAATAATTGTTGATTAATAGGTTTGAAATTGAATTAGCGTGATGAATAAAAATGGTGCTGGTATTAAAAATATTATAAACATATTTATTATATAATTTCCCTAACATCAATAAAAGCTTTGTAATTCATGAACAGTATACGGAAGTGACGTCATCAAGCACTCGCTATTGGTCATCTACTTAGACGGGTATACGTAATTTCTTTCTTCCTTTTCATAATGACGGGCTGGTTAATTTAGTTGCTAGAATTAATAGTTAATTTCATTGTTGAAATAAACACAATTTTAAGTATTTAAATGCTTTTAATTATTTGTTAGGATACTATTATTATTGTTTCTACCTACACTGGTTTAATTGTTCTGTTCAAATCACAGGTCATTATCGTTAATTTCATTTTGTCTAAAACCGCCATCTTTAAGGATTTATTTCAATATCAAAATAAAACAAGACATGGTTCAATAGTAAATATCACGATTGTATTTCTTTGTCTGTGTGTTTGCGTGTGATGTATTTCTCCAAGCCCCAAGAGATGGCAGTGAGCCAAGTAAATATATTCAAACAGTGCAATGTCACTGCAGTTGTCGTGTTGTCTTTGATCCAACCTGAAATAAAGATTGCTGTATTGAGAAAACGTCATTTGGACAGTACAATATGTTAAATAAATAATAACTAAACCCTTTTAAAAAAAGTGCGTGCGTACAAAGTATACATGTCCGAAGGGAAACTTCTTTGGCAAACTATTTTTTAAGTCTTGTTCATATTTATACAAATCTAAAGCTTTAGATTACCGAGACTTAGAGAGCGGGAAAAAGGACGATAAGTTAGGAATTTAATGAATTTAATTGTCATTAAAATATTAAAAGTGTCGAAACTTAAATAATTTTTTTAAATTAATTTCTTCGATAATAAAAAGCATTATATTTTATATATAATGCATATTTTGCATAAAATATGAAATACTAATATTTCATAAATTCTCTTTACGAAATTTTTATTTTAAAACTAGAATTTCTATAAGGTTTCGCCCTCCTCACTCTCTCTCTCAATCGGAATCCCTTTTCTTGGACTAAAACGCTGCACATCTTCGTGACGCTAATATTATTATTATTGCGTTTCATGCGTAAAAAAATTATCCTCATGCGCCTAAAGAAGTTTCACTTTAAAAAACGATTTAAGGGCGATTTCATTAAATGAAATTTAATTGTCTGACGTAATCTACATAGTTATAATCGTGTAAATTAATATGCGAGAAATGAATTCTGGCAATTTTTTTATTAATTTTTGATTACTTCTTTAAATTTGATTGTTTCAATGAATTCAAATTTTACTTAAAACCAATTTAAAGTAGTATATTTTGAAAGAAGTCTTCACAAACACATCGTCATTAAGTTTATATGTAAACCTTAGCGTATCGTTTTAACTGTTTGACGTATAACATGATTAACGAAAAAACCAGAGTTAAAAATATTTAGCGCCTGAAGAAATCAATTTTCATGTGGACATACTTTATCAACGTGTCTATGAATATTAAAGAAATCTTTGGCGATATCTTTTTTAAAACTGTATTAGTATTTGGATTTATATACCTTATGTTTAGTTTAATAATAAATTAATAGAGAAATAACAAAAGGTCTGTTAGCTAAAACATCTGAATTGTTCAGTTTTTTCATTATTTCATTTTTGTATTGCACTTAACCAATAAATTATCAAAATGTTAATTATAACTTTAAGTCGTTGCAGCAGTCATACTTTAAAGTAGCCGCAGTAGACGCCTACTAAACAGAAATGATTATTTTAACTCCATTAGTCGGCCAGTACATGATACTTTTTGGGTTACTATGTATTAAAAATAACGCCTGATTAAAATATTTAGCAAAACTCACCAACAACAGGTCCCAAAGTCAGATAAACAATTCCTGCGGTCAAAAGCTGTATACCAGTCGCTCCTGGTAGTTTATGTAGCGGCACATGAGTTGGTATCACTAGAGCCATGAACACTGTCCTCAAACCTTTACCAAAGCCAATTATAACAGCTACTAGGAGAACCACCTTGTACTCTTGGCAATAGGCTAGTACTGGAACAATTAAACTTATTAAATCGTGGATGTTTGTTACCATGGTAACCATAGTAATAAAAACGGTACTATTATTTTTTTTATAACTTCTTTTTGTTGGTATGATGCATTTAACTATTTTATTCTTTCTGTGGTCCACATTTTATTTGGTCCCGTTGCAAAAAATGGGTGTAATAAGTTTGACCTCTCTGTGTCTGTAGTAATAAAATGAATGCATTAATTATGCGATTTTTTCTTAGAAAGCTGATAGAGATGGTTCTTAGCTACAATTTATGAAGGTCCTTTTGGAGAAGGAGCAAAGAAAACGTAATCTTCACGACGTCAAATGTTAAGTTTCACGAAATTTGTATGTACGATTTTTATTTCGATTTATCTATAAAATTGAAATCGAAATAAAAATAGTAAAATATTTTGTTTATAACCTTTTATAACATTCATGAAAATGTTAATATCTAGAATTTAGAATTCTCGCGTGTTTGTGACTAATTAAAACATTATCTATATCATTTGGATAATCTTCATATAACATAAAAGATTTGCCGTTTTACATAATGTATTAAAAATATTTACCAACTCTTCCCATTGCCATAGACATAACTCCGAATAAGAAGAAGGAGTTATTATCCCAACCAATCTTTCCAGCTACAAAGGGAATGCAAAACCTAACGCAAATATCGATTCCTGCAAGAAGTGACATAAACAATGCAATCTGAGATTTCGTTAGCCCATAATCGCCAAGAATAAAAGGTGTGAGTATCGAGAAGTTCAATTCATTGAAATTTGCTAGAGTTATCCCCAGCATTAGGTTGATAAACGTTAAATCTTTCAAAAGATCCAAATCAAAGAACAATGAAAGCTTTTGCCAGAACGTTAGTTCTTCATCAACATTTTCTTCGTCATTTGTTTCATTATCGATTAATATTGTATATTTCTCACTATCGTCCTCAACTTCCTTGAGGTACTGCTCCAATTTTAACGAAGCTTGTTTTAAAACTTCGCTTTCATAAGCAAAGTTGTTAGACTTGCGTCTTGTTTTTGATTTGTTCGATTGATTGCTATGATTGTCCTTTAAATATTTTCTTTCTTCAATATCATCTTGATTTTTAAACGAAATGTTGCTGTGGTTATTTTTACTGTAGTTCTCACCGTATTGACCATCCATTTTGAAAGATTTGATGCTTTTGGTTCCAGCATAATGTTTTTCAGCTCGGTCTGCGATATATTTAGCTTTTTCTGGGTCAATACTCTCAACGGCCGCTTTTTCTTCAGCTTTAAGGTCCTGTGGAGCTTTTAATGTTGGACAGTCCTCGATTTCAGATTCTGGGATTTGTAAGTTTACATTAACAGAGGTTTGTCGTTTTGTCTTAGTGGGCGGTTTCACCTCTTGATTGAGCAGACCTAAGTTCGCTGACGAGTTTTTCTTGGATTCGTTTAAGTAAAATGTTGAGGACTTTCGCGATCTATTCTCCAATAGATTTGACATGGACGGCTTTTTTGAGTTAAGAAGTGATGCTTTAGCAGATGCGTCGCGCGAAGATATTCTCGATTGTCTAGATTGGCTGAAATATCCATCATTTGCCCGGGTCATCATAGGAATACCAGGATCGGTAATTTCATACCCCGTATTGACAGGGTCATCTTCATTATATAGATATTGGCTGGAAAACACGCTAAGGCTTTTTAATTTAGACACCTGACTGAAGTAACCACTCTCACCCTTCTTTTCGTCAATTAATTGTGTTGTAGGTTGGTTTGATATAAATTCTTCATCTTGGTTCGAAGTCGGTGATTTCGCATGCCATTGTACAGGTTGTAGGAGTAGAGCACATGCAATTGCGTGTAAGGAGAATCCGCTTAATAGCAAAACAGTGCCGGTTTCGCCGAAGTAAGCGAATAAAGCAGTTATAATGTGAGGCCACAGCATGGGTCCAAGACCAGTAGTAGTCCATGATAGTCCTGTGGCCAATCGTCTTCTACTCTTCCAATATGTATTTAGAGCTAGCGCATTTGCGGAACTGCTTATTCCATAGCCTGCACCTGTAATGCATACAAATATTGGAGGGATTATTTTTCTTATTATCTCCTGATAATAGTAAGTGTGGATTTATATTATCTCTTTTGAAAGTGGGCTGGCTCTCTGAAGCATAAGTTTAGATCAAATAAATATTGTTTCAATACAATAAATATGGTAATCAAAGTAGAAGGAACGTGTATTAAGCAGAAGTTATATGCTACGATAGAGTTTTAACTATATATATATATATGCATTCATCCAAAACTAGTAAATTTAATTTTAGAATAGTTTAATCGTTGGATATCTAGTAGGTAAGCATATTAATAAGAACATATACAACTTTGTAATAAGTGAAGAAATATGTACCTAATATTACAAATATATGACAAATGCTACGTTTGTATAAATTTTTACTAGCTATATTAAGGGAACATACCATACAATATAGAGAAGCTTATAAGGTACGTTGTAAAATTGTAGGAGAAGGTAGTAAATAGAAGAGCAGTGAAGACAACTATTGCACCAGTGAGTGACACTTGTCGATAGCTGAACGTTTTGAAAACTGGACCATTGGCCAATCCTGAAAAGACATTTGGCAAAATTAAAATATATTGCTACAATTAGACTTGGACCTGATCGTCATTGATATTTCTTAACGTAGTATGATTTTTGTTTGAATTATTTGTTATTACTATTTCCTTTATCTTACTTCCCGTCATTTAGTCTTTACATGTATTTAAACCTCTTTGTTTGTTACTTTACTGCGCACCAAATTATTATTATGTCAAAATAAATCATTTTAGTTTTGGCAGCAAAGATCCTAACCTCATTAAAACCATTTATAATTATCAGTTTATCACACCAACAAGTCAAGAAGTCAGACAAAACCGTGGACTGATAAATTCTCTGTCAGACAATCTTCACGTCTGGTTAAATAAACCAGTATTTAGAATATTATGTAATGTTTTAATCGCCCAAATTAAATTATTATTACAAATGCGTCATAAATATGTATTAGCTTCTTATTATATTATATTTATAGAATCTTATAAAACGATAAAGTTTTACTTAATGCTCTTATCTGATTGCACAATGCGTTAGAGTCCGTATCGATCGAAATTACCAAATATTAATTTTAATTACAGAAAACATAACTCAATATGACTCAGTCTTGAATAATAGCGATCTAGACATGGAATGCGAAGTGGGTTTTACATGGCCAGTCTGAATAGTAGATGATCTATTCATCGCGATGATAAAAACTATAGTTCAAAGGCGAAATATTGATTGATTTAAAAGAACCTTAAGTCAAAAACTAATTCGGTTGAATACTAGTTTAATAAAATTTAGTATATTCTGTTATTTTCGTCGATTATATTATTCAAGTAATAGATTTAGATTTATTTAGTGTACATAATAATAAGGATATGTGTCGTTATTGTATAGAAGAGTTACCCTCTACGGCGCGTCACGCACCGACGCAAGATGTCAGCGCCGAGTTCATGTTGATAATTGTTGTGGTCTCCGCACTAGTGATGCCAAGCTGGGCGAACTTCTCACGGAAAAGGAGACCAAATTGTTGGAGAATTGGCAGGGCAGACAGCTGAAGTGTAAAAAAATAAATCTTGATTTTTTTTTACATACAAACCTCAAATAGACCTTTATTTGAACTTCCTTATTTTATGTATACAAATAAAAATAAGGTTACATAAATTGTTTGATAATATGTGGCTTTATTGATAACTACCGATTTCGTCTAGGAAACCCTAATAAGGAAATAGATAAAATAAAGAAACACATTATAAGGGTTTACCCTTGCAAGAAGTGAATAACTAAATTGATAAATAAATTAATTACAAGTAACACTAGAATTATACAACGGCTTATTTGAACACCATAGGATTTACTCCATATAATCATTTTCAGAAGAGGGTAATTCATCGAAAGTTGACTGATTGTATATTTGAAGGTCTGCATACATATGCGAGTTAACAGCGAAAATAGAACAGGAGAAAGGCCACCACCCTGTGGTACGCCAGCAGCAACAAGAGACCAAGAAGAAAACCTGTAGATTAATTTGATTCATTGCTGGCGATTAGACAGATAGCTTTTGAAACAGTTAATCACCAATTAAGACATGTTGATAGAACGAAGCAGGATAACAAGAACATCGTAGTCTACAGATTATAAGACTACGATGCAATACTGCATTATTATAAGCGTTACTAATGTCAAGTCAAGTCACTTGACTTTAGCAATGCCTTTGATTCTGTAGACCACAAGGTTCTTCTTGTCTTGTCTGTCTTGTTGTAATTTTAGTGAGTGCAGTGGCCGTGCTGTGTCGGAAACTGGATTAAAGCATATTTTTTTTCATGCAGATTGACTTTGGAATAATGTAGTTTACATTTTTTATTCAGCGGCAGCTGACGTAGATGCCGGTTCAACAAATATTTTTAACCTTCTAACCTTATTTCCTGAATTTTGAATCATGACTAATACCCTGGACACATGAACGCATCTTACGATAGGCCACTCTTACACTCCAACTTTTTTTTGCAGTTATTCTGGGAATTCTGGGTCTTTATATTAATTTCACAGAAACAACAAAGTTGCTACTTCTTTTGTTCTCGAATATCAATGCTTCTATGAATGAATAATTCTCAATAATCTTTAATGTCTGTGATTGTTATCTTTTATAAATAATTACTTTTATCATTACGAAAATTATTATATAAAATATGTCACTTGAATTAAATTTTGTAATAATTAAGTATTTTAACAAATTAACTAACTAATTTTATATCAATCGTCATACAATATTAAACATTAATTTGATTTATACTTTATATTAAAACAATGTAAAAAAATATTTTTATCGGCGATTACTAAATAGGCTAAATGTATATCAAAAATGTATCGAAAATTTATGTTAAACTCGCAGACGGCGGGCTGACGACTAATTCGAATATTTTTTTTAATAATTTATTTATTTCTTGAACTCTAATGAATGTAGCAAAGCAAATTGTTTCATATGTTGGTTTGTAACTAAACAGCAAGGCTAAGTAAAAAAAACATATTAAGGTGTTAAACAAAGTTTTGAATAAAACGACAAAACTTACATTTGAAAATCCCGCAGCGAAAATTATCATCCATCCCCATCCACCATCAGGAGGAATAAACTCACTTTGCTTTACTTTCCGATCCTCCGCGGTCTTCGATTTCATCCTGAAACAACACAACAATTTAACAGTAACTATTCAATATAAATGATATATCAGTAGAACGCGAGTCGCTTTTAATCAAATGCTCATTTGAGATAAACGGTTTATTAGTTGCGTATAAAAGAAACATTCAATATGTAGTTATCTGCATCCATTAGACCATGCGTTATCAAAACAAAATAGCTTTAGCATTGATAAAATAATTTCCGAAAATTTTATTGTAAAACATCATGCATGTTTTCAATGTTCGTCTTACGCATGATTGCTAACCGAATATAAAACTTGTATGTGATTGAATTTATTAATCAATGTTTTGTCTAATACAAGATAAGGATCGTACATAGTACAATAGACTGAGCCTCAGTGACTCAACTCTTGCGTTGTGGGTTCGTATCATAGCTGTGCTGTTTCTTTTCTGCAAGCGCAATTAAATTACTACTAAGAAATACAGTGAATATCGGCACGTCTAATCTGTGTGCCAAAAAGTAAAGAAAAATAATCAAAACAGGTCCGAGGGCAAGAGCGATGTTTGATAATTACCCTTGAGGTTGTAAATCGGAGGAAGATTACGTTGTAAATTTATTTTATCCGAAATACTTCTAAATTTAAATCAGAAAATTAAAAGATAAGCCTTATTAAAACACTTACTTTTATGGAAAACTTTTCATGTGCGAAATGTACTGATATTCTAAGAAAACGTTATAATCAGTATGATTTAAAGTGCACACGACGTTCACGTGATATTACTTGTAAGTACTAAATGCAATGAATCCATAAAGCGTAGAGAGTTATAGAGTACTAACAATGATTATAATAATTTATTACGTTAAGCGTCATAATACCAGCTATAGATGGTGTTCGGTGTCAATTTATTGAATATCTGTTATTTCTTCCTTCTAGAAAATACTATTCCTTTTTAAATATTTGATTTGAAACCTCCAGTTTAGACACAGACACGGTTCTAAGTCTCTTTTTCCTTCTATTATCAACGCTATGGCGAGGCTCCTTTTGGATGAGCCATATAGAATAATATAGTATTTGCTGTATTCAATGTAACCTCGGGCACGCATGATGAAATATAAGTTCAATCGTGAATTAATTAATACTATTGGGAAATCATATATGTATTCTAAAGATTATAGTCTCCTTTTTTATAGCCGAATTTATTTTTGTCCAAGATAAAAAATTGGGACAGTCTGTAGACACAATAAACATAAAAGTGTGATATAGTTCTTTCAACAATGTTTTACAGCACATATTAAAATAATTGTCCACAATAAATAGAACAAATAATAAGGATAGATATTGTCTGCCCTAGAAATTTTATCATTTTAAGTACTATCCAACTACGATAATAATATCTACACAGTTTCTAAAGGGTGTAAAAGAAAATTGTCCATAATATGTCTGTTATTTAGTAGGGCAAAGATTGTACCTTATCAGTTATCTATAACATTTTCAATACTTAATAAGAAATAATTAAATCCCTACGTGTAACTTAACGTTTACTAAAAACTTTTGTTCGTTTAAAACTAATCACGAGATTACACAATTATTTGTCAAGATAAGATGAGTAAGTAGAAGTTTAAATTAGTCATACGTGAATTACCTGCACTGTTCTAGATATTAGATTTTTACACATTATTAAATAAATGCTTCAAATAATAATTGTGGTTTGGTAAACTTTAAATATCCCGCTCGTATTGTTTTTTTTTTCTTTCTCACACGCTCGCCTTTAGGCTCCTTAACACCAGCTTAATAAAATATTGTTCGATATTTTTTTCAAGCTACTCTACAGAGCAGCGTATATTATTGTCGTTAAAATCCTTTTAAAACCAAATTCCAGCATCATATTATGTTTTACATAACAATGGTAGATGACGCCATACACAATAAAGCAAAGTTTTAATTTCTTCTCGAACAATATTCACAGTTTATTAAGTAAAATTATTTTTCAAAAAAATAGTAACTATGGATTTCCAGTAAATTATTAATTAGTTTTTTCAACATTTTAACCAATGAAGAAAGGCGAATAGTAGTTAAGCGCCATCTATTATATAGAGAGTTATCTAAAACAAGTAGCAACAAGATTAATTCGAGTGTCACAAATCTCAGTGTCAGCTTCATTATTGACATTGTCAGTACTCAGTACGATAATCACATTTCACCACAGAATAAGCTAGTCACAAATCTCTCATAACACAATACATTTTACAAATTCTTAAAAAAATACAAAGTGAACGAGGTGGTGCGTGGTGACGAGTGCCGACTGAATAAGAATTATTTTGTGAATTGTGAGTGCGATAGATAAAGAGTTTATAGTGGGCCGCATATAAAGTTTGCTTACTATACGAATTTAGTAAAGTTTTTGATTTGATACTTTGGGCCAATTAAATCGTGTACCTCATAGAGTATTTAAGAGCTGATTTTGATATTGATATAGAAATTAAAATAAAGTGCATAAAATGCATTTTATGTATTGAAAATAAATAAATATTGCATTTATGGGACGTACATTTTGTGTGGTAAGTAAAGTACTATAATTGAGTGCAAGTTGCAACTTTGCTTAGTTTGAAACTTTATAAAGGTAATTGCGTTTTGATGTCTAGAATTTATAAATATTAAATCTTAGTTTATAGCCCTTGACACAGATTTAGAGAAATTTAAATTCTTTTAAATATAGAATTGATAAATATGTTTGTCTAGTAAATTTAATTATTTATATTCAATATAAACTAAGTCATTTAAATTTAAGACTGCAAGTGAAGCTGAATAAAAACATTTTTTTTTAAATATTCAAACATATTATATAAATAAATTCATTCATTAAAATAACCCTAATATATATACATAGTCATAGTAAACTTTTAATTTAATGGCAGACACAAAGGTAAACCATTGTTACAATATATAGATATTCTATACTCAACCCATATAAATCAAAATAATAATATATTCTTTTTAATTTGTCAAATAAAATGAATAGTATCAGAGTCAAAATGTAGGATTTATGTCAGAAATAATAAAAAAAATTGACATGTGGCAGTTATAGTTCTCGCTAAGTCCTATTTCAGAATCTTACCTAAAGGTAAATCTAAGCATTCAACTGATAGGAATGATTAAAAATTTGTATTATATCTTCTGATTCTTGACTACTGTTTATGATTTATATTTGTATGAAGTTGTTAATGGAAATCTGCTCTGCTGTAAAACTTTTAAAACTAATGAATCATACACTAATAAAAATAATTATCTGTTGAGATTAATTAATGAACGTTTTTAAATGGCATAAATAATAATAGATTACCTATATTTATGAAAAGAACCATTCTTATATATTTGTAAGTCAAGTTTGCCTAGTTGACAAGAAAAAATATTTTAAATGAAATTAGCTTTTATGTATTTTTTAAAGACACTTAAACAAAATAATTAAAAAAGATTAGATAGATAGTGTTTAAATGAATAGGGGTCAACCTCATTTTTGAACGTCCAAACACTTCATTGATGCAATAATGTCCTAATAGCTACGAACAATGTTAATTAGTATTTCCTTTTTTACTTACATTAAGTAATATTGAATTAATTAATTTTGCTGTTGATACTTAAATACAGTTTTGTTTATTAATGTTTTAAATGAAACTTGAAACATTAATAAACAAAATGTATTGTATTGGAAAATAATATGATAGATAAGTGTTAAAATATTAATACTTTAAATATAATTTGACAAGTTCATTAAGTAATGGGAAACAAAAAATTTTATGCTGACATTATGATGACTAAAACAATTTAAAAGAGTATTTCAACTTACTATTTACCTATTTGCAAAATCATTATCTTATCTATAAATCTGATTTTATACTAATAACAATGTGAATTTAATACTTCAATACCATTTGATCATTAGATTAAAAGAGCCGGTGGGAAATGAAAATGCAAAAGTTTCATATATTTAAATACACTTTAAAATATATATTATACTATGATTTATGTACTGTGTAGGCACTTTTCTATAAAAAACTAAATTTGTAGCATCAAATTTACTTATTGTCTAGATATAAAAACCGGGCGTCAGACATTTACGTCATCCAAAAGGGTTTCAAAAGCCTTTGTTGGCGCGATTTGTCATTTACCACATCTCTCCGTCCTTCCACATTACTTTTCTGGCAATTCAAAACAAAAAATATTTCGTATATTTTAAATTGTATAATGTTCTTAGTCCTTGAGGAACAAAAATATGGATAGGATAACATATAATAGGACTATGCTAGTATATGTACAAATGAGAAAACGGTGTGTTCAATAATATTATCTTATATTCACACACGTTAACAGATTGCAATAACTATGCGAAGTGTATTTTCTTTATTGGGAATATAAGTTTTTGTATATTGTATAAGCGTAGTGGCAACGGCATGTATGTATTTTTTTTTCGTGGGGAAATGCGTTACGCATACACTCCCGCGGCACGGTTGACCTGGTGGGGAAGGGTTATGACGGACTCGCTGTTGTGCATACCCACTAAAACCCCACGGCGCCACCAGCAATCGCCCGGGGCAGGACACGGTAACGGTCGTCGTTTTCTTACCGGCGGAGCATCAGAATTATTTTCACGCTGACGCTCCGCATTCTCTTTCTGAGTCATGACGGCCTCACAAAAAGCCTTGAAGGCATTCCAAGGACCGTCATTGTCAGCTTCCACCATTCTTTGAATAATTAGTGGAAGCGACAGATTGCCATCAATGCTATCAGCAAGGACCAAGCGAAAGCCGTCCCAAGCCGGACACTCCTCAACTGTATGCCTCACCGTATCCTCTATACAGTCACAATGATGACAAGCAGGTGTCGCCTCTCTTCCAACGATTCGATGCAGGTAACTCCCAAAGCATCCATGCCCAGAGAGAACCTGAACGAGCCGATAGGAAAGCGATCCCCACCGTCGGTCCACCCAGTGTTTCAAAAAGGGACGAATAAGATCAACGGTTTGTAAACCAAACTGACAT